CAACGATCACTGCAACGGGCCATTCCCACCGGCCTTGGGCAGATTTGCGGCAGGGTAGGGAGACACCAGGCCCCCCGGGAGAGGGGGGGGGGAAGAAACTCCCCCAGGCGAATCCAACCAGGCGCACGCCCAATCTTGCAAGGATTCAGTAAGTGCTATGGGTCGTCTTGCACCAACAGCTGATGGAAACAAAGCAATCGGCAGAGCTGTCACCATCTCACTCCATCTGGCACCTGGAGAGTTTATTCCTTTTAATTTTTTCCATTTCTGGATGAGCATTTGAAAATCCACCCACAAAACTAGCCCTATAAATACCACATCTATTAGAGGAAGGGATAATAAATGGGGCAGGAAGGTCCCGGAGGAATACTGGCTGGGTCACAGAGCTGCGCTGGTCCCCTTCCCTGCCCCAGCAAAGGGGTATGGGCCAAAGAGTGCTGGCTCCGACTGGTCACACCTGGCAGATGGCCCCTGGGGGCCAGGGACACAGAATGTAAATCCGAGCATGCTCTAGCTTACATCCAGGGGTGGGTGACAGCTGGTCCAAGAGTACATGGAGGGCAAAGGTGGCCTAAAGCCATCTCAGGCCAGGCGCCCTGCTCCTGCATAGACAAAGAGGAGTGGGGACTCCACAGTCTGCACAGGAGATCAGACTCTGGGGCCGGTCGAGTCCTCACTGCTGAGTCCAATGGGGCTGATCAGTGCCAACTGCGATGCCAGGTTCTGTGATCGGGACACCTGTCCGAGAAGGACAAGGCTGAGAACCACCAACTCATTGCACGCATGCCCTTGCTGCCCACTTGAGAGAAGGCCTCGGCCCGACCGTCAGGACAAAGAGGGAGAGGGCTGTGTCAGGCTGGGCTGGGCGAAGTGGGAAGGGGCCATGCCACAATCACAGTCCGTTCCAGATGGGCACTGTCTGTACCAGGCCGAGGAGGTCCCTGCCCCATCTCAGCTTTGGCTTGTGCCGAGCTTTAAAACCAGGAGACACATGCACGCGCTGAGGCTTGGTGACTACTTTAATGGAGGCTGCCTGTGCCCCCCAGGAGATGGCAGCAAGTCATGGCATACGGGGTACCTCTCCTGTGTGCCAGCTCATCTCAGAGGCTGCTGTCAGGCAGCTGGATTGGACCCTCACAAACCACCTGTGCACCCAAGCTAGGGGAGACAGAGCACAGTAAAGGCTGCACCTTGCCAGTGGACAGTTTAGGTAGAACGTCCCTGCCTCCCACAGTCACCCCACCCACTGGCACTGAGCTAGCAGGTCACAGCCCAGCAGATAGGCCTGGGGATGCAGTGAAATCCTCACCCTGCCCCCCCTCCCCCGACTTCCGCTCTGGCTGGGTCATGAACCTTGTGAAATTGCAACATGCACAGTCACCACCACAACTTCCTCTGAGCCATCCACTCGCTGGATTTAGAGATGCCTTGAAAAGACCCCAGCCTCTCCCAGCAGTGGGCGCTGTAGGGATGGGGCAGGAAAGCCGGCTGGTGAGGGGGGGGGTCCTAGCTACTCCAGCCCCAGCCTCTCTCAGCAGGGGGCGCTATGGGGAGCAGGGCAGGGGGTGCTGGCTGATGAGGGGGCATCCCAGCTACTCCAGCCCAGCCTCTCCCATTATCAGAGCACCGGTCTGCAGATTGCTCAGGCCAGCACCTTTCATCAGCACTAAAGTCACTTAAAAAGACCCTGAGAGACAGAGCAAACACTTGCTGTCCTCTGTCCAGGGCTTACAGGGACCAGCCCACCCTTGGCACTGCGCCCTGGCACCACTCTGGAGATGCTGACCTCACGCCCATCAATGGGGCCTGAATTTCCTGGCACTGGCGGGCGCCTTTCCCCCAGGCTAGTTCCCCTTGCTAGGAGCCAGCAGGCTCTGGGAAGCCACAGGCAGTTTGCAAGAGGAACCACCAGCTAAGCAGTTTTCTCAATACAGTTCAATAGCAATGACTGTGCTTCCCTGCCAGAGTCTGGAGACAGAGAAGGGTCTGGCCTCGGCAGGCGGACGGGCTCCCAGCCCTGCTGCAGCTCGACCCTGAGACAGGCTAACATCTCCTGACCTGGGACAGCCCAGATCTGACTGTCCTGTACCCCATAGTACCTGCACAATCCACCCTGGTGCAGCCAACCCCAGCTCAGATCCCCCCACCCTGAGCCACAGCCTCATCTCCGGGGCTTCGTTCAGTCTCGTATTAAAAGGCCCAAACGAGGGGACGCCCTGTTCTGGGGAGGAACAATCATAGCCTCGGCCATCTCTGCAAATGGGCCCCACTCTCCAGCCTGCCTTTGCCATTGCTCCATTTCAACCTCGTAGTGAGAATCAAAATACCCATTCAGGCCCAGGGGAATGGCATTAAAGCCAATGGCATTCCCCTTTATGCCAGGCCCCCTCTCGGGCCTGCCTGGAGCAAAGCCAGCCTCCCAATCCCCTCTGCAGGCTAGGTATCATCACCCCCACTGGGGAAACTGAGGCATGAGGCATGTCCAGAGCCAGTAGTGGAGTTGGGAAGAGATTCCAGGAATTCCTGGCTCCCAAGCACTATGGAGACAGAGTCAGCTCTGTTAGCCGGGGAGCATGTTTTTGCTGGGTGTCCACTCACCCTGCCCAGCATCAATGCCCGTCGAGCTCCTGTGCTCTGCGTCTCCTCCCTGCCTGGGGATCGGCTCAGAGCCTCTGCTCTGACTGAGGCCCCAGAGACACTGTCCAGCCTCTTTCACAAGCACCTCACAGGAAGCTGCACGTTCTCCAGCCAACCACAGACACTGACACCCAGTTCTGCTTCCCAGCCATGAATGACGTGTCTGTTTAAACACAGGACAAGCCCTTGCCCACGGACCTGAAATGGAAATTGGTGTGGGGCAGCCCCTCCCCAGCGCTGGCACGCAGCCCCGAAAAGCTCTGCTCGCTGGGGGCTCCTAAAAACCAGGTAGGGCACAGCAGGATTTCAGTTCAAAGGTGGCCGAGTTGGTGGGTTCTCAGCCTGATCTCCCCATGGAGCCATCGTGTGGGCACAAACCAGCCCCTTACGGGCAACTTCAGCACAAAGGCCAAGAAGGGGGATAGCGGTAGAGACAGAGTTCCCTCCACAGCTGGCAGTGAGGGGAACATCCAGGGGGGCACAGTGAGGAGACAGCTTGCCCTGGCGCTGGCTGAGCTAGAGCTGGTCTCTGGGGCTTCAGCCTGGCACCTTCAACCTTCAAATAATAACAAGACCCCAGCACAAAGGCCCGGGGCATACAAAGGGTTAATCCAGGGAGTATTCACTATGGTACCCGGCGCACTCCGATAATTGCTATGCCAATACACAAGCCCCTGGGTGACCAAGCTTCAGGGCAGCAGAGTAGGGAGGAAGGAGGACCAATCTCCAGATAGGCCTGCCTGTCTAGTGAACCTACCCAGCAAGGGTCCTAGCAGGCACCCACAGGGCACTGCCAGGGAACACTCACCCTGCCAGGGTCCCAGCGGACACCCACAGGGGGTGTGTTTACATGGCTCAGAGCACAGAAGTGGGCTGCATCTGTGCAGCCTGGGGAAGTGTGGACACATGCCTGGGCAAACGGATAAACCCCTGCAGTGTCCCTGGTGAGAAGGGGGCCCAGCTGCACCCTGCAAACATTCCCTGGCACTGGAATAGAAATTAGAGGCAGACGAGGGGGTTGCCCCCAGGGTCAGACAGAGCCGTGGGGCTCCCACCCACATTCCTGGGGGGGGAGTGGGTCACCAGGGCTCCACTTTGCTCCCCTAGGGGTGGGGAGACCCCTCCGCAGCAAGTACAGCTCCACTTCCAGGGCATCGTACCTGCCATTCAGCTCTCCTGCTCCGGAGGTTCGTCCTAATTCTCCCTCTTGGGACCAGATCCCTCCCTGCACCTGGCCCAAGAGGCAGCAGCCTCCCCTACTCAGGGTAAGAGTGGGGTAGGGGGACCCCAGAGCAGCCCCAAAAGTGGCCCAACATTGTGCCTCTACCTCAGTGAGCCCTATGGGGTTTGCAGGGGTGCAGAATCACCGATCGGGGTGCAGATCCAGCCCCACATCCTCCCACCCCCATCTGCTCCCTTTCTCTACCCCTTCCCCCCAGGATGGCCCCTGGGCCCAGAGCTGCTGCAGAGGTGGTGTAAAGGCCAGGGCTATTCCCCAGGGGCTGACGCCTGCCTGGCACAGCCCCTTGGCATCAGCCTTGCTGGCACAAAGGGCACCTGATTCCCCATTGCCCTGTGCAGCCATTTAAGCCAGGGCAAAGTGTGGGTGAAACTCCCTCATGGTGACTGAGTGGCACTCAGCACCCTCTGTGCACTGGCATAAATAACCACCCGGGGCGTAATGGAGAACCAGGCCCCAGAGCACGACTGGCACAGCCCAAGACGTTCACACCCTTCGGGTGCTCCCACCACTGTGTCCCTCTTGTGGCTTCCACAGACATGGGCTTGCCAAGTTTCCTGCCTTTACCACCAGGGACGGCTCAGGTGCAGGGCAGGACCCTATCCACTGGCGCTGTTGGCAAAGCACTAGCAAGAGCTGTGGGTAAATATGGGGCTTCCCTCCCCAGTGCAGACAGGGGATCTTTTGTCTGAGATCCAATGTGTCACTAGAACCACCGTCTAGACGGCGCAGGGAGACAGAACCGCCCCAGATCACGCCTGTGAGTTTAGTCCCCAGCTGCCAGGCCGGGTCACAGCCCGAGAGGGGCGCTGTGGGGCAGGGCCAGGGGGGCCCCCAAATTGCCAGGCCGGGTCACAGCCCGAGAGGGGCGCTGTGGGGCAAGGGTTCCTCCCCCGCTGCCAGGCAGGGTAAAACCCCGAGCGGGATGCTATGGGGCAGGGGCAGGCGCTCCCCACGCTCAGAGCCCGAGCGGGGCTCCCCCCCGCCGCAGCCAGGTCGGGTCACAGCCCGAGCGGGGCTCCCCCCCGCCGCAGCCAGGTCGGGTCACAGCCCGAGCAGGGCGCTATGGGACAGGGCCCCGTTTCCCCGCCGTTCCACCCCCTCGCAGGGCCCCGGTACTGACATGGCGGCACCGTGAGCTGTAGCTCGCGCGTCCCGTCCCGTCCCGTCCTGTCCTGTCCTGCTGCTCTCCCTCGGCGGCAGACACAGCGCCGCCTGCTGGCCGGAGGCTGCCGATCGCTGAACCCGCTCCTCGGCCGTGTGAACAGAGCAGTTCCCCGCGTTCGGTCAGCTCCGGACTACTGACACCCGGCCTGGCCAGGCCCATTGACACCCAACCCGCCCCATTGACACCCGGCACGGCCCCGCTCATAAACACCCGGCACGACCCAGTGACACCCGGCCCAGCCTGGCCCATTGACACCCGGTCCAGCCGATTGATACCCAGCCCGGCCCATTGACATCCAGCCCATTGACTCCTGGCCCAGCCCATTGACACATGGCCTGGCCCAGCCCATTGACTTCCAGCCCATTGACAACGGCCTGGCCCATTGACACCCAGCAGGGTGGATAAAAATCAATGATTTTTTTTTAAATCAAAAACATCAGATTTTTTTTACTTAAATCGGATTTTTTTCATAAAACGCCTTTTAAGGAAGAAACCTATCTAAAATAGTTCTAATTAAGATACATTCTAGCTCAAAAATATCTCATCATGGAATAGGGATTATAAATTCTAATTCTATAGTATGAGACAATATATTCATGTAATGATGTTTAAGACAAGTTTTGTAAATGAGTTCCAATAGTTCATGGATTAGTGACCCGATTTTATGGGATTCCAGGGGCTTCTGTATAGATTATTTAGGTTAATCCTTCTATCGACCCAATGGGACTCAGTGCTCAGTCTAGAACAGAGGTGGGCAAACTACGGCCTACGGGACCCTCCTGCCCGGCCCCTCCGCCACTATTCCCCCTCCCCCGCAGCCTCAGCTCACTGCGCTGCCAGCGCAATGCTCTGGGCGGCGGGGCGGTGAGCTCCGGGGGCAGCGCAGCTGCAGAGCCCAGACTGACCTGGTGCTCTGTGCTGCGCAGTGCGTGGCTGGCTCCAGCTGGTCAGCACAGCTTCAGCGCCACCAGCCACCGGTGCTCCAAGCAGCGCGGTAGGGGGGCAGGGAGCGGGTTGGATAGAGGGCAGGGGAGTTCGTGGTCAGGGGGCGGGGGTGTGGATAGGGAGCAGGGCGGTCAGAGGGCGGGGAACGGGTTGAATGGGGGCAGGGGTTCCTGGGGGGGGCAGTCAGGAAGGAGGAGGCGTTGGATGGGGCGGCGGGGGGGCAGTCAG